CTGAGTTCACATCTAGGCAGTTCTGTAAACGAGACTGACCTAGATGCTGCTTGGAAAGACATACGAACAGCTGTGGAAACAGCAGCAACATCTATTGGTCATTTAAACCATAGGGTTCCAAAAAACCAGAGGATTTCCTCTAAGTCTATTTCACTGATGGATTCGCGTAAACTCATCCCATCAGGCACTGAACATGACGAAGAGCGTAAAGAAATTAGATCTAGGTTAACTAAAAGTCTAAGGAACGATCGTGAGCAGTGGTGGGCAACGAAAGCAAAAGAGATGGAAAAGGCAGCGGCTGTAGGCAACACCAGGCAACTATTCAGACTAATAAAAGAAACCGGAATTAACAAGTCAAGTGTAAGTGAAACAATCTCGAAAAAAGACGGAACCCTTATCTTCTACCAACCTAAACGTTTAGAACGATGGGCGGAACACTTTAAGGAGCAGTTTAGCTGGCCTTCAGCTACTGCACAACTACCCACAACTCCTAGAAAACCTGAATGGAACATTGAAGTAGGCCCCCCGACCCTACTTGAAGTTCAAAAGGCTATAGGTAATCTGAAACGAGGAAGAGCAGCTGGTCCTGATGGATTGGCTCCAGAGGTCTTTAAATATGGTGGTTCAATTTTAGCGATTAGGTTGACTAATATTCTGGCTAAAATCTGGGAGACGGATGTAATCCCATCCGACTGGTCACAACCACTGATTGTCCCAATATATAAAAAGGGGTCAAAATCATCCTGCGATAACCATAGAGGGATTGGTCTGACTAACATAGCATCTAAAATACTAGCCTCAATAATTATCGGGCACCTAACTAAGACTCGTGAACTGCAAACACGAGAAAATCAGGCTGGCTTCAGACCTGGTCGTGGCTGTATCGACCACATATTCACCATTCGTCAAGTTTTAAAGCACAGACACGCTTATCGGCGTCCGACGATGATAGTTTTTCTTGACTTGAAAGCAGCATTTGACTCTGTAGACCGAGAGGTTTTGTGGCAGTGTCTGTCATTGAAAGGTGAACCAGAGAAGTACATAAACCTTGTAAAGGCTCTTTACTCGAACACTACCAGTCGAGTGAGAGCTTATGGCGAACTGTCATATGATTTTACAACCTCAAGTGGTGTCCGTCAAGGCTGTCCACTATCCCCGTTTTTGTTTAACTTCATTATAGACCTGTTGCTGGAAATAACACTCTTCGACTGAATTTTCAGGAATTGATCTCCTACCAGGGGGACCACTAAACGACTTAGAATACGCAGATGACATAGTCCTGTTTGGTGAAGACGCTGGCAAAATGCAGAGTCTTCTGTTGGAACTCAGTAATAATGCCAGGATGTTTGGGATGCGTTTCTCCCCATCCAAATGTAATTTGTTACTCCAGGACTGGCCTGCGTCAACACCCGAACTAAGGATAGGGAGTGAAGTAGTCGAACACGTCGACAACTTCACTTACCTTGGAAGTCTGATCAGCCCTAATTGGTTGGTGTCTGACGAAATCTCAGCACGGATTCAAAAAGCTCGTTTGGCTTTTGCCAACTTACGTCACCTATGGCGTAGACGAGATATCCGTCTATCAATTAAGGGACGAGTATACTGCGCATCAGTTCGCTCTGTTCTACTTTACGGCTGTGAAACATGGCCATTAAGAGTAGAAGATACTCGTAGGTTACTAGCATTTGACCACAGATGCCTTAGAAATATTGCTCGCATCTGCTGGGATAACCGGGTAAGTAATAGTGAGGTTAGACGCAGGGTATTAGGGAACGATGGTAAATCAGTTGATGAGGTGATGAATCTTCATCGACTGAGATGGTTGGGCCATGTGTTACGTATGCCTGAACACCGATTATCACGACGCGCTATGATGACTAGTATTGGGGACGGTTGGAAGAGAGTTAGGGGCGGCCAAACCAAAACATGGCATCAGTGTTTGAAGTCACTAACTTCTAGCCTGAGCCATGTTGGCAGATGCAGACTACCTGGTTGGGGTCCGCGTGACTATCGTAACCAATGGTTGGAGACTCTGTGTGACATGGCTCAGAATCGATCACAATGGCGTAGGTGTATACACTCTTTATCTTCCCTTAAACCTTGAGACTAAAATTGCTTCATATCTCTCTTCCTTCCTGTACTATATCCTTATATACAGCCTTTATTTATATACTACCACCACTAAATTAACTGCTTCTATGGATCCGGTGTTCATCTTGTTGTGATAACGAGGTATGGCAACTTGGACCGATGCATATATGTGCCTGGTCCTACGTTGTAGCTGACTGACTAACTGACAATTCAGACCTAACATCTGGAAAGCAAACATACCAGACATCATGAAATCAGCGTCATCAGTAGATTGGAAAATTGACCCAGAGTCATCAATCGAAACGGCTTGGGACATATTCCGGAATTTATACTTAAAATTACCGCCCCCCACATCCCTTGGACTACACCTAAGAGACCGAGAAACTCCCCACCGCGGTTCAGTAGGGAGGTTCGCATCCCTCTCCGTAAAAGAAGGAACATGTGGGACAGATTTAGGTTACTGGGGACTGACGAGGCAAAATCTCAGTATCAAAAGGCTCGAAATACCTGTGCCTCAACCCTCCGTAAGGCCAGAAAGCTGTACGAAGAGAAAATCGTTAGGGAATCCATAGAATGCCCTAAACGCTTGTATTCGTATATAAATCAAAGGACAAAAAGAAGAAGAAATGTTCCTTCACTATGGGGAGACAGTACTGCCACATCACTAGTGGAAGACGACTTTAGCAAAGCTCAAGTATTCTCTAAATACTTTAGCGATGTATACACCTGTTATATCCCCCGGTGAATTACGAATGTTAACTTTTAGGTCTATTTATCGACCAATGTATTATGTTTATTTCCTATTGTATAATTGTTACGTAACTAAACTATTCATATTCGTGTATCTCTTATCATGAGCTTTATTTTGATCTTTGATTTATTATCATACGATTCTTGAGTTATACTATGTTATTGATTACTTTGGTTTGTATAAAAACCCAGTATGTTTGTAAATAATGATTCTTACCACTGAGGCTGTTATTGGTGTTTTGGACTTAACTGGCTGGGCTAGGCAGATCGCAGGATCGGTTAGCACTGTCGACTGCTTGTACGGGTTTCGTGTCACTGTTCCAATCGACAATTCGCTGCTCCCCGTTTGGCGGTCTTATCGCGTCACACATTAGCAAAGCATCCACTCGTCCACAGATATAACAACACCATAGAAACACCCTTCTCACCAGTCCATGAAAATCCCCCCACACAAGCACTGGACAGCGTAACCATTAAAGAACTCGATGTTTTTGGTCTGCTAGTTAAGCTTGACATAGGTAAATCCACTGGACCCGATGAACTGCATCCTAGGTTACTAAAGGAATTAGCTAACTTTGTTGCGAATCCTTTAAGTGTATGTTTTAATCTATCCGTAACCCAGGGTCGTCTACCAAAAGACTGGAAGAACGCCATAGTAAGTCCAGTCATCAAAACAGGTACAAAACATAAGCCTGAGAATTACCGACCAATTAGCCTAACTAGTGTGGTTGTTAAAATCTTAGAAAAGATTATTCGGAAGGAACTGTTAAAGTATCTCGATGAAAACCGGATCCTCTCCGAAAAGCAGCATGGTTTTAGAACAGGTCACTCTTGTCTCACAAACTTATTAGTTGCTCGTGAAAGCTGGTGCGCTCTTAAAGACCAAAAACTACCTATAGACGTAGCTTACATCGATTTCAGCAAAGCTTTCGACAAAGTTCCGCATAACCGGCTGTTATATAAGCTAAGGAATGTCGGGATTGGAGGCAATCTATTGATGTGGATAAAAGACTCCCTAGTTGGGCGTCAACAAAGAGTAAGGGTGAACTCCAAGTTGTCTATCTGGGAAACTGTGCTTAGTGGAGTCCCCCAGGGTACAGTTTTGGGGCCAGTGTTATTCCTCCTGTACGTAAATGATCTCCCTCGTCTACTATCGTCATCGGTCTTACTCTATGCCGATGATGTCTAGATATGGAGAGCGATACAAAGCAAGGGCGATAGCTTAGAACTTCAAAATGACCTGGAGAGATTATCTGAATGGTCCCAAACCTGGCAATTGCCGATAAACACTTCCAAGTGTATTGTGATGCATATTGGCCACCAGGGTACAGATACATACACGATGAATAACACTGAGTTACCTATTGTTCAGGCACACAATGACTTAGGCGTCATCGTTAGTCAAGACTTAAAGACTACTGCACACTGCCGTGCAATAGCCGCCAAAGGTTTTAGGGCTTTATGGTCCATACGCAGGGCTTTTAGGCATCTTGACGTTAAAACGTTTCTGACTTTGTATACAGTGTTCGTACGCCCTAAACTTGAGTACTGCATACAAGCAGCTAACCCCTGCCTAAAAAAAGACAGTGAACTCTTGGAAAGGGTTCAGAGAACAGCAACTAGGCTGATGACAGGAATAGCGAAGCTCCTGTATGGTACTAGACTGACCAAGCTAAACCTATTCCCGCTATCATATAGAAGAATCAGAGGCGACTTGATTACAGTTTTCAAATTGCTTAACGACAAATTCGCACCTGATATGCCCTCATTTTTCTTGTCTTCCAAAACAGAAAATCTACGAGGACACTCCAAAAAAGTTCACAAGCCCCGAACAAATTACTTGTCAGCTGACTACCGACTTTCCCATCGAATAATCAACGAGTGGAATTCATTACCTCAGCACGTGGTTGAGGCTCCATCCGTCGACTCCTTCAAAAGAAAGTTGGATCAGCTGAGAGACCATCATTGCCAGGACTAACACAGGCCATCAAGCCTCCTGTCCTTTCCAAACTGAAACTGAAACATCAAGTCACTAAAGTGAAAACAGTGATCTAATTCCTAAACAAGAGCATTTATCTATTGAATAGAACTATTACTTAGTAGTCAACAAGGACTAATGACTGATTTTATTGATGAAGAGTTCAGAAATCCATACTTACGTAAGGAATAGTACACCTATCTACGCAGATGGTAAAATGTGGCGGGCACTTTGAAAAATTAACTCGAGCATTGTACAATTTAATATTTTCTATTATATGCCTTATTTTGCTACATTATAGCAGTGCAGTTCTATTCTCCCTACTTCGTACAGTAATTCATGCTTGTGAATTGCCGAATTCCTAGTTTATTAGGAATTTTCAGCAACATATAAACGGTGCTGCAGGCCATTATCACGTTCGTTGTGCAGAGAATGTTGTTCTAGTAAGTCTCTGTCGATTCTAGAGGTGATCGAGTCGCTAAACATAGCTAGGAAATTAAGAGTGTTATTATGAGCCCAGCTCTAGACTTAAGTGGGACCATAAATGTGGACCACATCAGGGAAACAGATAAGCATATGAATCTAATCATTTTTACATGGCGGGAGAAGAGACTACCTATAGACAGCACTGAGGGATGTGAATCTGCGGGTTCAGTTCCGGATTCACATATCAATGTAATACAAACTATACGAGAGACAAGTCCATGCAGTGTAAAGGAAGTGATCAGGAGACAAAATAAGGTTGAGGATACGACTGGTATTCTAGTTTTACAACTAGTGGCGAGTAATACCTTCTATATTCGAAACCTTCTTACGCCCGATAGAAATCAGAAGTCAGACGAGAAGAGGGAGAAAAGATATATTTGATACGTTACCAATATATCGAGAGGCGTTCGTTCTTAGCTAGATATTGAAACGTAGGAGCTGTGTCCCACGCCGAGTGGAAACATGATCTGGTATGGATGCATGACCGAAAGCCTTCAGTTAAACAAGTCCACTTAAACAACGTGGTTAGCATCCAATGTCGAACACTTAATGAGCTATTGATTTTGGGGAATTATTTACAGCTACAGATCACTCCCCCCCTAGTGAGGTAGTGATGCCCCTAAAACGTGATCAGCCAGAAGTTTAAACCCAACGAGTTTGTCGTTGGTAAACACTCTTCTGATAGCTTGCTTCGTTTAGCAGCGTCTGGTCGTCTTTCCTTACACTAAGGGACCAAAATGTACAACATAACAATCAAGAAACAAAGAACAATGAAAATTTCGGTTCCTTGTGAAACTTCGTCGTTCTTTTTCAGCCGTCCTGGAAAAGAGAAAAAAAAGAACGTGTGATTGCATGTCGAAAATGCACTCGCACTTGCGTAAGGATACAAGATGAGCGGAAAAAAATAAACTAATGCACTTGCAACAGTATAAAAGCGATCGAAAAAAATTTGTTTTTGGGGGATTTTTATATATAAAAAATATAAATACGCTTAAAAAAATCAAACTGTTTTTTTTAAATAAATAAAAAGAAATGAGCATATTAAAGAAATTATTTTTTATAATAAATAATGAAAAGGGAATTTGAGATTAAGTTTGTGTCCTACGTGCAATAGTCGCTAAGATATTCTGGAAATCTTACTCTTCTTCCAAAGCGCGTTGTTTTAGGTTTATTTTCCGATGTTGACGAAGTATCAAGGTGTGTATCGGCTGTCGTGTGGGGTACTACAAGTGTATCAGCCGTTTCGTTCGATTGCACCGAAGGAAATTCGACGTAGCTAGGTTTTCCTTCTAAGTACGCTGCTTTCAGTCGATCGATACTGATGCTATCGTTCGTGCCGTTCTTATCGACTACATAGTACTTGGGTTCACGTTGAAGGACTTTGAAGGGTCCTTCGTATGCTGATTCGAGAGGTCGTCGATGTGAGCCTCGACGAACGAAGACGTGTGTACTATGTCGTAATTCAGGTTGAACGAAAAGATCAGTTTATTGAGGTCGAGTGTGAGCAGGTTTAACTGAACGCATAACATTTATAAGCCTACTCGTGTAACAGTTTAGATCCATAAACAATGAAGAAGCCGAAGGATCTACGAATTCTCCTGGGAGTCGGAGTGTCGTTCCATAAAGGAGTTGAGATGCAGTGTATCCAATGTCAGTTTTCACTGCATTTCGGGTACCTAGCGAGACGAGTGGAAGAGCGTCTGTCCACTGTGAAACGTTGGAAGCTGATAATGAAGCTTTAAGTTGTCGATGAAAACCTTCTACCAACCCGTTTGCTTGTGGGTGGTAGGCGGTCGTTCGGAAGCGCGTGATACCTAATAGTGAGGTCAGACAACGGAAAAGTCCAGATTCGAACTGGCGTCCGCGGTCTGTAGTGATGGTGGAAGGGCAGCCGAAATTTGCTACCCATCGTTCGATGAAAGCGCGGGCCACGGTTTCAGCAGTAACGTCCTTAATCGGTACTGCTTCGGGCCATCGAGTGAAACGATCTACGCATGTTAAGAGATATGAGTATCCGTTTGAATGGAGTAAGGATCCTACCAAATCTTGATGAAAGTGGTCGAAACGAGCGTCAGGGGTTTTGAAAGAACCTAAGGGACATTTGTTGTGTCTACTGACCTTAGATTTCTGGCAGATTACACAGGAGGGTGCCCACTCCCTCACGTCTTTATTCATACCAGGCCAGCAAAACCGTTCGGCTATGAGCTTGATTGTTGCACGAACACCTGGGTGAGAAAGATTGTGCAACATATTGAAGACGTTGCGTCGATAATGTTTCGGTACGATTGAACGATCCCTACCTGTAGATGTGTCGCAAAGTAAGGTTTATTTACCTGTTCCCATCTGCTTAATACTTAGTTCAAGAGTTGTCGAGGATAACTCGTGCTGAAGATCAGTGTCTTCTTTTTGAAGCTGAGTGAGTTTAAAAATGTCGATTTCCTGGAAACTGTTCAAGGAACTTATTCGAGTTAAGGCGTCTGCGACTACATTGTTTGCTCCAGAAATGTGTTGTATGTCTGAAGTAAACTGCGAAATGTAGTCGAGTCGTCGAGACTCTCGCGGCGAGTAATTGTCTGAAGATGAACTTAAAGAGAAGGTAAAAGGTTTGTGATCGGTAAAAAGCGTGAATTCTCTTCCTTCGATGGAATGTTGGAAATGCCGTACAGCACAACACATAGCTAGGAGTTCCCTACCGAACATGCTGTACCTAGATTCCACGTCTAGCAACCGTCTGGAGAAAAATCCTAAATGTTGCCATGAGTTGTTAACCCATTGTTGTAAGACTGCTCCGATTGCTGAGTCGGATGAGTCTACTGCGATACTAATGGGTGCTGGAGTGTCTTCATGTGCAAGCAGGGTTGCCTTAGCGATGTGTTCCTTAACTGTGGAGAATGCTTTACGTACGAAGTTGATACATCGGAAGACGTCGTCTATAAACCTTTGGAAGGTTTGAGCAGCATTTCTTAAGCCAAAAGTCATTCACAAGAATTCGTAAAGACCGAAAGGAGTGATGATGGCGGTTTTAGGAATGTCGTCGGTTGCCATCGGTATTTGGTTATAAGCCTTAACTAAGTCGATTTTCAAAAAAAACAGTTGTGCCTTTAGACTCTGACCACGCTTAATACGAGCGCGCATTTGTCTGCGCCTCAATGAACACAGTAAAAAGTACACTAAGAAAACCCATTAGAATTGAACTGGAGGACGAGAAAGCCAAATGCGAATTCCAGAAACAACTGAGTTCACGTCTAGGCAGTTCTGTAAACAAGGCTGACCCAGACGCTGCTTGAAAAGATATACGAACAGCTGTGGAAACAGCAGTCACATCTATTAGTTATTGATGTGATCCGCAAAACTAGAAGCCTGAACAAATTACGGAAGCTATTTTCGGGGACGTTAATTCATTTAATTCAAAGCTTGTAAAACTGCAACATTTACTTTTGCTCCTAGCATATTCTACAGATCATAAGCTTTCGTTTGATGTATAATTCATTGCCATAGCATTTTCGATTCTAAAGTTATTGTCATTTAGACGTAAACTTTTGTACCCTATTTTCTACTATAATCCCCCAGTTTTGGACATGATTGTACTTTTCAAATTATTGTACATTGTGGTCCGCTTAGTCATCTATTTATTCATGTAACTTTTCACCCTAATCTGAATTGGGAATTCGAGTGCTAGATCGGGTTGGAATAAAGTGATTAGTGTTCCATCTGTCTTTGTCTTCTCTCTCTCGTGCTTGCCAGCCAATCAGGGACAGAATATTTTTTAATTATTATTATTAGCTTTATTCAATATTATATTTTTGGTACAATATAGAATTCTCAGCACAAAGTACTTCAACAAGTTTCCGTTTCTTACCTTTTCGTCCTTTCTGACGACAAATATTGGGTGATTGCCTGTGTATTCCAAAACAAACTGGGCTGTTGTAAGTTCACCAAAGTTTTCTTGTCGTTAAAGCAAAATGCAAAACCTGTCTTCAGACCAAAACGACCAGTACCTTATGCTGCTCTGTCAGTCGTTGACCAGGAACTTGACAGGTTAGAATCACTGGGTGTCATTCAGCCAGTAAATTACTCAACGTGGGCTGCTCCCATAGTAGTTGTGAGAAAGGCAAATGGGACTGTTCGCATATGTGCTGATTTTTCCACTGGTCTAAATGATGCTTTAGAGGATCACACTTATCCACTTCCCATACAGGAAGATTTATTTATCAAACTAAATGGAGGGAAGTATTTTGCTAAGATTGACCTTGCTGACGCATATCTCCAAATAGCAGTTGATCCAGTCTCCCAACCACTACTGACGATTAACACTCACAGAGACCTTTACCAATATAAACGTTTGCCTTTTGGTGTGAAACCAGCACCAGCTATTTTTCAACAAATTATGGACACTATGTTGGCTAATTTGCCAGGAGTCGCTGTCTATCTGGATGATTTTATCGTTACAGGTTCCAGTAAGTCTGATTTATTTGATCGACTTGATGCTGTTTTGACCAAAATATCTGAGTATGGATTTTATCTAAAAGAAGAGAAGTGTAAATTTTTCATGGACTCGGTAAAATATCTTGGATTTGTTTTCGACAAAAATGGACGACGCCCAGATCCAGAAAACGTACGAGCTATCCAAAATATGCCTCCACCATCTAACGTCGCAACTCTACGCTCGTTCCTTGGTCTTATCAGTTATTACAGTAACTTTTTACCAAAATTGCATCGCCTCCGAGCACCCATGAACCATCTATTATCCAAAAATGTAAAATGGAACTGGTCCACTGAGTGTCAAAAGAGTTTTGACAAAGTAAAGTCACTATTAATATCGGACCTACTTCTTACGTATTTTGATCCCTCACTG